GGGAGGCTTTCGGCAGCTGAGGTTGAGGTCAGAGCGGTTCTGTGGCTAAAGCAGAGTCCATCAGAGTGGCCTCACAGAGCGCCCCCCTCGGGCATCCCAGCGATCCAGAAACTAAAGACGCTCCATCATAGGTGCAGAAATGGCACGGCTGGACTGGAAGGGGCCCCTCTGATTCCATAAGGAGGCAGCTGTGTCCAGAGAGGGTCAGTCCTTAGCCAGGCCAGCACAGTGGGCCAGCAGCCTTCCCGCTGTGGTCCCCAGATGGTCCCTCCCTGGTCCCTGGATATTCCCGTGACCCGCACAGCCCCACATTGACGTGTGACCTCTCTGTGGTCCGCACGGGCCTTTCTCTTGAGGCAGCCCGTGATCCTGGTCCTCACCGCAGACCCCTGCCCTGCCTGGGCCGAGGGCCTGCCTGTCTGTAGGCTGGCCAGCCTTCCCGGGCGCTCTGGTGTGGAGTTTCTTTGTGAATGGTTTGGAAGGAGCCAGTTCACACGCACCGATCGTGTCCTCATCTTCTATGAAACCCTGTACAGATTTCATCACATTTCCCTAATAATTGAATGTGGACAAGGATATTTTTGAGACTGAATAAGACCGTCTGGGCAGATTCCACATTCTGTTGCGTCTAGAGTGTGCCAGCCTGCCACTGACCGCTGCTTACGATCCCTCTATCGGAGCTTGCTCTCCAGCTCCAAACTGGTGGCAGTTCACCTGTGGTCCCTCCATCACCGAGCGTGGCTGGAGCTGCCTCTGGTCCCTGTGAATGGGGGGTCTGGACCAAGGCACGAGGTTGCACGTGGGGCAGCTGGGGAGGGGCTCGGCGAGGGAGGGGGGGGTTGGCCCCATCTTACCAATGAGGGAGCAGCCCGAGGTCGCATGGCTCAGAAGGGGTCGAGGGGGGTTTCCGGCTCGGCCCGTGTCATGCCAAAGCCAGAGCGCTTTCTGCTGCCCCATCTCGCCTCCTAGTGAGCGTGGCACCTGGCAAGAGTCCAGGCCAGGGTCAAACTCTGCACTTCCCAGGGCAGCAGGAAGGGGCCATGTCTGGTGTCAGCCCCGTGGTTTGGGAGTGCTCAGCACAAAGCATCTTTAGATCACTGTTCCCTCTGGTGCTGAAGAGTCACGTGAAGAGCCAGGGCTCCCTGTCGGGTCCGCCGTTTACTTGCTCTGTAACCATCGGAGAACTCCCAGGTGGCATTTCCTTGTGCAGAAAATGGGGACGTGGCGGATGCCTTCCTAGGCTCTTCGCCCTGCTTCGATGAATGGGCCGGCCAGAGCACTCAGCACGGAGTTGATGTTCCCGAGACATGAGTTACTTGTATTATTAGGTGGAGGCACTCACGGCACCACTGGGAAGTCAGTGATCGTAGAGAAGAGCCGGCTCAGTGAGAGCAAATGCTGAGTTCGAAGCAGGAAGCCGGAAGCAGGAGAGCGGGCGCCGAGCTCCCAGGGACCCCAGTCCCTGCCCTTGGTGACAGTTTTTCCCCAGGCTAGCCCACTCCCACCGGCCATGCCCACGCCCCGTCACCGAACCTCCCATG